TGAGGATCAGCCAATCTGAGCGGCAAACATAGTTCAAGGCTCCGGCGAAAGTTCGGAACCTGGGCATCGATTAGTTGGCATTCTTCGAGGAATGAAAACATTATTTTTTTCAATCCCAGCCTAATTCGCCACGTGTCTTCCCTCGAAAGGTATGGAAGTTGAGGGAGCTCCTAAAAGGTAGGGAGCTCCAAGATTGGACAGGGCACTCTGGGTGTACTATGATGTCCTTGGGTCGGAACAAGCACTGACCCAGGGAAACAGGCGACGAAGTAGAGATCGTGCTAGATTACTCCCACGGGTGGAACGGGAACTTTTCCAGCTTGAGAACGTGAACCGATGCAAGGGAGCCAGACAGCTCCTTGATCGTTTCGGCCAGCATGATGAGTTCCAAGGCAAGCGACGCCCACCAGAGATAGTACCCGGATATTAGGAGAAGACTTGCGGCAAATGAGGTTTGGAGGAATCGGCGAAGGTGAATGGGAACACTGTGTTCGGACAGTGTAAAGGGAGGGGGGAAAAAGGTACATTCCCCCGCCGGGAATCGAACCCGGGCCGGCTCGGGTCACGCACGACGAGGCGTGAAGTGAAAGCGAGCTATCCTAGCCATTGGACCACGAAGGAAGACAAATTTGGGCTTTTCCTGTTATGGAGTGGTTGGAGATATGGTGACAAGAAAGCCAAGAATCCTTACAACGTGAGGCGAAATCTCCGGTTTCTACGAGTTATATTTCATGATACACAGATGCAAAAAAATCGTAAGCTTCAACAAGCGCTTTATATCCCCGCATAGCCCCCTAAACTTCCAAGACAAGGGCCAATGCTCAGTTGGCTGGTTGAATCGCGAACCACCTGTCGAAGACCAGCTTAGGGTCATACTTCTTCTTGATCTCTTGCAATCGGGGATAATTTGGTCCAAATAGCTTCTTGGTATACTCGTCCGTCTCGTTCAAAGTTGAGAACGGATCTGCGTAATTCACGTATCCGAGCGACTCCTGAGCCTCCTTCGAAGACGACCCCGACACAACACTCTTCAACCTGAGAAGCTCATCCCGTGCATTGGGAGTGAATGATTCGTCCGTCCAAGCGAGAGCGCACAGGACGGTCATCATCTGCGAGAAAGGAATAAGATGGTTTGCTAAATGTGAGGGAGGCTTAATCTGGAGCACTACCTCATGCCTCTGTGCAAACGCAGCCTGTTCGATTGGCACTTTTGCAACCTTTTTGTACGGATAGAACTCATACATCACCCCCGAAAAGGGTGCTTTTTTGACAATCTCGTTCCATGTGTCCCATGACTTTTGGACTTGCGGCAGGTCGAAGACGTCAACGTGGGCTCCCACTATCATCTTGTTTCCGGGAAGCTCATTGAAAGCGTTCTGTAGCGCGAGGCTCCGTCATCACAACAAAATAGAGAGCCAAATGCTTTGCAACATACCGCTAGGTTGCTAACCTCAGTGTATGGGATTTGAGAATTCGTGACATTGACCGGGCCTAGCGGTGATGGCCACGTTTAGTGCTCGATGTCGGTAAATCCTGGCATTCACGATGACAGCAGCTCACCGAGTTCAACGAATTGCTTATAAGCAGCTTCTCCATCCTCCTTCGTTGAATTGCTGATGCCGTTAATGATGACGTATGGCTAGCTCGGTCCGAAGATCAGAAACCCGACCACATAGGATGAGGGGAAGATTCTAATTCACGTTGCCATCCGGACCCAGGGTAATTAGGAGCTGGATTGCTTCGTGGTCCTTTTGCTCCTTACGCCATGTGTTGATCCCTTCGATTACTTGGGGTAACTGGGCTGGAAGGTATACGTAGCCTAGCAAAGTAAGTCAGAAACACTAACAGAAAGACTTGAACGGGTAGGCAGACTAATTGCGTAGACTTCAGCTCTTTGACTATGTAGTTTCACTCCGACTTCCGCCACAACTCCAAAGTTCGAGCCACCTGCCCGTGCAACTTCCTTGAGTGATGAAAATTCATCCAAGAGTAAACGCCGACGACTCACCTCCGCGCAGAGCCCAAAAGAGATCCGAGTTCTCAGAATCGTTTGCTTTTACAATTTCACCCGAAGCCAAAACGACCGTGGCTGAGACCAGGTTGTCGGCCGCCAAGCCGTGTGAACCGGTCGAGTAGCCCAGCCCACCGCCGAGAGTATAGCCTCCAATGGATACTTGGCTGCACTGTAAGATAGATCCGCCTTCTGGTGAGGCAAAAATCTACTTGGATTTTTAAAGAGGTGAACTCACGAGTCCAACGACTGCGGCCAAGCCTAGCGGACATCCGATGACACCGCACAGCGTAAGTAAGAATGTGAGTGTACCCATTTTGTGCTAGACGGACGCACCGTACTTCATAGTCTCGACCTCAATGTCATGAGTTCGAGCCCCTGCTTGGATGTATCCAATCTTGTTCGCCTCATCGACCCGAATTTTGGTCATTTTCCGCATGTCAATTAGCAAGTCGTTCGTAGCAGATGCTGTGCTGGTGCTATGCCCACCGCCGCGAACAGCAATTGCGAGACCCTCTGAGCGAGCATACTTGATGAAACCAGGATCAGCGAACCGAAGTTACTTCAGGTGCAGCATGCTCTGGAATACATATATACCTTTATTGCCTTCGGAATATCTTCCGTCTCTTCAGGAGTGACAATGATTTTACTCGGTTTAGTACCGTTTGGTGCCCATTTCGACAGATTGTAGCCTTCTTCTCCGGGCTGGCAAACCGTCCCCTTGATGGACTCCTTGAATGCCTGCAGTACACAGGATCAGGAGTGAACTGGTCAACACTCGAAAATTCATACGCACGGTAAACGATCCAGACATCTTCAATAGCTCGAGGACGGGAGATCTTAGGAGAGGAAGTGCGATACTCTTAGAAGTTGGAGTCTAGGAACGATCTATTTAAACTTTAAAGTCTGAAGGCTTTGGCGCCCAGGAACCATCGTTACATCATGTGTGACCGGAGCAGTGCTTTCGCGCCAAAAACCTTCACTGGTCAGGATCCTTCTGCAATCCTTGCTCCAATGACAAGCAAGGTACGGCTGACGGATGATACGATGTTGCCTTTCAGACGCCATCAACGGTCAGGCACACCTGGGATCGATGGGGCTAAGGCCGAACCGAAGCTCAAGTACGTGAGCACAGCATTAACAGGAGATGCGGCGTATTGATCGCCTTTACAGGATCGTAACGGAGGTCCATATACCGTGGACCTAGCCCAACTCCAGCAGAAGCCCGGAATGCCCGCATGATGCCCTCGAAATCGTGAAGGATTCTGACCGCCATCAGGTGTAATGTCCTGACCACACGTTCGCCCATTGAGTTGCGTTTATCTCATCCGCATTCAAAACTAAGAAGTAACTAAATTGCATCGCTTCCGGAACTCACATTGCCGCGCCCATGCCAGGCATTCACGGGGCCGGCCGAATTGCAAACCACCTATCGAACACCATGTCAGGGTCGTACTTCTTCTTCAACTCTTGCAAACGAGGGTAATTGGGACCAAAGAGCTTCCTCGCGTATTCGTCCGTTTCGTTGAGCGTGGCGAAAAGATTGGCGTAGTTGGGATATCCCAGCGACTCTTGAGCAGCCTCGCACGATGATCTAGAGACGACGCGTCTCACTTTCAGGAGCTCGTTCCGAATATAGGGCGTGAAGTTATCGTCCGTCCAAATGGCAAGGCAAAGAACAGTGATAAACTGGATCAAAGTTGAGTAGCGTGTTTACTAGCTGTCTGGCGACGATCTCGCAATGTGAGGAGGGACTTACGGAGTGCCGCTGTGCGAACGCTCCATGTTCCAACGGAACGCTTGCAATCTTCCCGTATGGATAGAACTCATACATGACCAACGACTGGGGAGCTTTCTTGATCAGTTCGCTCCATGCGTCCCACGATTTCTGGACTTGGGCCAAGTCGAATTTGTCTATGTGGGCTCCGACAGTGTCTTTGCCGCCGGGGATTTCGTTATATAGATCCTTCGCAGGTATAGGCATCAGGTGTTAGATCATTAGAAATAAGTGGTGCTAGGTCTACTTACGGCTTGAGTGCTAACTTTGTCATAAGGAATTTGGGCACAAGTAGTGTGGACGGGACCTATGTCGATGGATACACATCCACGTCCACATTGCACTCTCATAAATGGGTCGCGTTTTGAGCTCAACTAAGAGAAAACGTACCTAAGTCCACGAAACACTTGTAAGCCGTCTCCCCTTCCTCTTGCGTCGAGTTGCTAATACCGGTGATCATGGCGTACGGCTGGAAAAGTTATCTGGGTCTTCCCCTGAATAATCATCTAATTGAAGCCATCACTCACGCTGCCATCCATCCCCAAGCTAAAACCGAATTGAAAGGCCTCGTTGTCCTTTTGCACCTTGAGCCATTCATTTATAGCGTCGACGACAACTGGGAGCTGAGAAGGAAGGTAAACATAGCCTATGGCGGAGGAGAGCCGGTACGTTATTGTCAGTCAGCTAACAAGTGTGGAATTTAGCTTACTGATGGAATAAACATCCGGTCGTTGAGGGTGTAGTTTGACCCCCAGCTCTGCGACCACGCCAAAGTTGGATCCAGCTGATACGAGACCGACATATGTCAGACCACAAAATGGTTATGGCTTTTTCGTATATACTCACCTCCTCGAAGGGCCCAAAGTAAATCGGGGTTCTCCGAGTCGCTAGCCTGGACGATTTCACCTGTCGCGAGGACCACGGTTGCGGAGACCATGTTGTCTGCTGCTAGACCATATGCTCCGGTCGAATATCCGAGACCTCCTCCGAGTGTGTACCCTCCGATAGAAACCTGGCTACACTTTAAACGGGGAAGTGATCAGGCTCGTGCACGAGAGTTTTGGATGCCCGAGAGTCGACAGACTCACAGCTCCCACACATGCGGCCAACCCTAAGAACCCGGCGGTCAAAATGGGGTTCGTCATCTACGACCCTCGAGCAACCTTTACGTCTTGGTACTTACCGTACTTGATTAATTCCACTTCGATGTCATGAGTTCGAGCGCCCGCCTGAATGTACCCGATCCGGTTCTGCTCGTCGACTCGGATTTTGTTCATCCTGCGCATATCGATCAGCAAGCCTTCGGTTGCAGAAGCGGTGCTAGTGCTGTGTCCTCCACCACGGATAGCAAACGGAAGGCCTTGTGAGCGAGCGAACTGGGAGGGCAGAATTGGTACGAATATGAGTCGACGAGCCTTGCCCCGTAAAGGCAGCCATGTAGGGGAACACTCGCCTTGATTGCTTTCGAAATATCATCGATTTCTTCGGGGGTGATAATGATCTTGCTTGGCTTGGTTGAATAGGGAGACCATTTGTGTAAATCGTAGCCTTGGTCGCCAGGTTCGCAAACGCTGCCCTTGATCGACTTCCTGAGATCCTATTGAGGGGGCGTCGGTGCCTGTCAGCACGCATTTTCCGCTTAGCTTTTGAAAAAGAGAAAAATGGCGGACAGCAATGGATCCTGACATCGCCTAGGTCTGGTGATTGAGAGGGTTGGGTGGAGATCCGTTCGCTTTGTACAACGCAATTTTAAACTCGATCGAAAGTCTAGGGGGCGAATGATCTATTTATGTCTGAAGGTTTTGGCGCCCAGGAATCGACCTTGCATCGTGT